TCAGTCTCAAGAAACTATGTATCTCAAAGATTGACTTCGGCCTCTCCTAATTCATAACTACCTCAACTTTCTCCGGGTCCATGGATACACCCAAAGCCGACATCACGTATCCCAAAACTTTTATTTTCGTAAGCCAGAATTAACACTTACTGAACTTAGAGTATTGCTGGTGATCTCTCAAAGTCTGGAGAACAACCTTTAAGTGTCCCTCATGCTCCTCCTCAAACTTGGAGTAGATCAAGATGTCGTCAACAAAGATCACGACGAACTGATCCAGGTAGGGTTGGAACACCCTATACATGAGATCCATGAATGCCGCCGGGGCATTCGTCATTTCGAATGACATCATTGTGAACTCAAAATGTCCATATTGCGTCCTAAACGTCGTCTTACAGATATCCGCCTCCCTAACCCTCAACTGATGATAACTTGGAGTAGACCCGCGCCCCTATTAGCTGATTAAACAAATTTCAATCCTTGGTAAATGGTACCTATTTTTGATAGTGACCCGGTTCAACTGTCGATAGTCTATACACAACTGAATGGTCTTGTCCTTCCTCTTGGCAAACAATACCGGAGCATCCCATGGTGAAGTGTTCGGTCTAATAAAGCCCTTGTCCAACAATTCTTGTAATTGGACCTTGAGTTCTTATAACTTAGCTGGCGCCTGTAGTTAAAAAAGAAAAATTATATTAAGCTTAAAAGAGGAAAAAGGTACCCGCCGTGATATTCCGATGGCTGTGTAAAAAAAGGCTAATGGTGTAGCGCACATAATTTCTCAAAATCGTACCATGAAGCTAGTCTGGCCCGGTCCAACATTGCCTCCCAAACTGGCTGGAGTTATGGTTTCCCAGCTAGGGCGGTTAGTTGAACGAGCTCAAGTCGAGTTCGAGTCGAGCTTGAAAAATTTGTTTCTTAATCGAACTTTAAAAATTGTTTAAGTTTAAACGAGTCAAACTTAAGCCGAGTCCGAGTACTTGCACATAAACGAACCGAGTTTGTCGAGTTTGAGCAAAACTTGTAGGATTTATTTTCTAAATGAGCCTAAAAATTTGTTCAAGTTCGGACTTGTTTAGAAAATGAACCGAGCCTGAACAAGCCGAACCCGAGCCGAACTAAAGCCAAACTCGAGTAGCTCAGTTTGATTAACAGCCCTATTCCCACCACAAAACCTAGTAGGGGCTGGCCCTTCCCAAGCGGGCAGGCATAACGGGCTCTGGCGGTTACCTTAATCTAAAAAATTTATAATTTAACTCAAATAATAATAAACTTTATCAATTTGTAGCTTACATTTTTTTTTTCAACCATCAAGGTATTTAGGTCAATTTATGCGTACTTTAACTAATTTTTTCTCCGATTCAGTCAAATACAAACTATCGATGCCAAGATTGCAATATTCATGAGACAAAAATTCTTCAAAACTTGATTTTAAGAGATTGTCAAAATTCGAACTTAAGACGTTTAAATTTATAACTGGTCCTAAGTATCACTTGTGGCTTACATTTGAATGTTTCTTTTGGGCATCTCTTCACCTTAACTCAACTGCCATCGCACAAATGACGTATATTTTAGAATTTTTGCCTCAACAATGGACTACTGACAAATTCATTTTTACTAGAAAAAAATTATGAAGAGTAGAATTTGGTGCCGAAATAAATAATTTGGTACAAATTTGGTTTCTAACCTATTGTTAAAGAATATAAGTGATTTTTTTTATGGCATAAGTCCTAATAATATTTTAAATGTCTGAAATTTCTGAAATGTCAGCATTATGACAATACTAGTACTTTAATAGAATCAAAGTGTGAGTTTGATATTGAATAATTATGTTTTCATCAGGAATTCAGGGTCATTTGGTAACGTTTTTGTTTTTTTATCTTTAAAAAAATAAAAAACATAGATAATTTTTGTCCCTATTTTGTGGTAAACACTGAAACAAAAAATATGTTTGAAAGTCATTTGTGTCTATCAAATTATGAGAATAAAAATAAAAAACCTATTCGGTAATTATTTCAAGTTATACCGTGGCAATTCAATCAATCCTAAATAGCAATTAAATCAATCCTTTGATTTTTTTTGACATTTCTTCAAGATTTTTACTGATATGTTTGTTTTTTGATTTGTTTTTCTGAATTGATCATGAATTCTGATCAATTGCAGAGGAAAATTTCCTTAAATCCGCCAAATATTATTAGAAATTTTACATCATCGTTTTCAAGTTTCTCGAAATCATCATCGTCATCGTCATCATCCTCTCAACACACACAGACTCATCACTCACACAGACACAAACTTAACACAACACACACACAGAGACTCGACATTCACACACACACACACAGACTCAACACAACACACACACACACACGCACAAATCTATATATATATATATATATATATCTGTGCATTCACAAATCTTTTGGGTTTCACAGAGAACAAGAGTAAAATAGAGAGAGAGCATCGACTTGTTTTTGTTTGTCTAAGGGATTGATCATCGTCTACGTCTAAGGTTTTCGTTTGAGGGATCGATCTTAGTTTGAGTTCTTCATTGTCACAGAGAGAGAGAGAGAGAGAGAGAAGAAAAAAGAAACCCTTCTTGTTGTTGCTAATGAGATTTGAATGGGAGATCTCAATAAATAAGCACTGTGGAGCGCACGTGTTTCCTAGAATCTCTTTTTTGTTCCTTGTTTTTGGGCCTTGTTTCTAAAACATCTTTTTTTATATAAAACAGAAACACAAATCCAAACATGTTTTTGTTTTTGTTTTGCCTAAAAAATGAAAACAAAAATACAAAACACCAACCAAACAACTTCTCAGTTTTTACAAGATCAAAAGTAAACAAAAAATAATTAAGTATATATTACTTATATGAATGTATGAATATATTAGAATTAATACAAAAAGACTATCAAATAGAATAATATAGAACCTTGAAACGGCAAGAGACTTTTTTTTTAGGGTGTGTGGAGTGTTGTGGCTTGTAGTCTCTGCAATTTATATGAAGGGCCACCTGAAATGAATAGACTAATTAGCTGTGATAAAAATCTTGACAAGGGTTCATAGTAGCAATAAGGCAGTTATTGCCTAGCTGCTCAACCTTTTGAGGTAAAGACATGAGGGATAAATCCCTCGTGACGACCCAAGTCACAGCATAGATAGTCTGTTTTTGATCAGACCGAGAAAAGGATTAGTCAAGATGCACATAAGTTGAGCCACCGTTGAATAAAAAAATAAAATTTGAGCATCAACACATAGTTAAGATTACTGGAGGACTATGAAGTGAATAGGTTTGAAATGGAGAACGAATGGTTAAAATATACAAATTTTTCTTTTTTTGGAAAGTAAGATTTACGAGTTTTTAATATTTAGTGTAATTGGTGGATTTACAAATTGCAGATGTCATAGTGCACATAATGATGAGTAATTTTATTTTTTTTTGTCATACATTATTATCGGGGAGGGGGATGAAGAGGTTCAAACCCAGTCTATTAGCAGGGTGGTGGCCATTAGGCCCATCGCTAACCTCAAATTATAGTAAGTAAAGAGACTGAATGGAAGTAATTACACCTCTTAACCAGCTCAACATATATTCTGTCAAGTAAATTTGATCAGGTCCATAACAATCTCATTGGTGATATCCTCTAAAATGGTATCTCCTATCTGCTCACCAATCTCTCTTCTCTGCTGCTCTAAATCACTCCATTTTTCGGATGAATCCAAGAAATCTAAGTTTAGCAGATGGGCTATGTTAGTTTCATCTATGGATAGTCTGCTCCATGTCCATATATTCTCGTATAGGAGATTCCAAAGCTCCTCAGGTCCCAGGAATTGTTGGAATTGTAGGGATCGATTGTCCTTCCCTCTATGACTCTCCACCACCTCTCTCATGCAGTCAAACAGAAGCTGTTTCGATTGCTGCAAGAACCTCTTGTTTTTAGTGTACTGAGAAGAATGATTAGAAACAACAAGCTCTTGGAGCTCCCCAACACAACTTGGATTTGGCCTCTTAGACGATGAGTGGAACGATAAATTACTTACTGAAACTGAGAATATGGACTCATCAACTTCTTTCTTGCAAGTTTTTAAGCTTTCTTCTTCAATTTTCGTGGCGTTTTGTCGCACTTTTTAATGCAAAACAAGAAGTTAAAGTAGAGTTAGAATTCCTAAAGAAAGAGCATAGTTTACGATAAGTTCTTGAACAAAGAGACTAAAGGCGATGAACCAGTGTACCTTCATCAAATTGTATGTCATCTAGCACTGAGACAGGGCTGGGTTGCTTACTGTCCTCGACTCTATACCATTGAAACTCTCTCTCTGTAGCAACCTGTTAGCTTTATGATTAACCAAACTGAATCAATAATTCATGATGATTCAGAATAAGCTAAACACAAACTACTTCTTTCAAAATTGAAAAGGCTCATTAAAATGCAAGTTTACCTCTTCTTCTCGTTTGCCAGGTTTCAAGGCATGGCAGGTTTTTGGAGTGGCAGATATGTGTTCCTCTTCTGATAAATCATATGCATCTTCTACCTCACTTTGGGAACAAGAATTGAATACAGTTGTGCTGCTAGCAGAAGAAAACTTATCCTCTTCTGCAATTTCCTTGCTGTTCATGCTCTTCTCTGTGACACTTACATGATCACTTCCACAATTTTTCCTTTTCAACTTACTATCAATGGATAGAAGCTTGTTGAATACAACTTTCACAATCTTAGAGCAGTTTTGAACAACTTTCTTTCTCTTGGTTATACCGCTAATGACTGGCCTCTTCAAGAACTTGGTTGAATTGCTGGAGCTCAGATACCCTCTTTCAAGAAGATAGGCCTCTAGAGTAAAAGGTTCTTGTTGCTCTTGGAGAAGTTCTCCAAGCTGTTTGGGCATGGTGGAATCCAT